CATTACTGAACGCACCCAACCGAACCTTCATCTGTGATTTAATGAGACGCCAGTTAACTTCTGGGAGCTAGATGAAGCTGAGGTAAAAGGCAAGACTTGAACAATTAAAATAATAAATAGGTCAAATATAACTTTCGAAAGAAGTCACAGATGTTTTGGAAATGTGGCACAGTTCAGATATTTGGCTACAACGATAACAAATCAAAACTTGATTCAGGAGGAAATTAGGAGGAGATTGAACTCGGGTAATGCCTGCTACCATTCAATCCAGAATCTTTGGCTTCTCCTCTGCTGTCTAAAAATGTGAAAATTAGGATATACAAAACTATAATTTTGCCTGTGGTTCTGTATGGGTGTGAAACTTGGTGTCTGACATTAAGGGAGGAACATAGACTGAGGGTGTTTGAGAACAGGGTGTTGAGGAGAATATTTGAACCAAAGAGAGATGAAGTGACAGGAGATTGGAGGAAACTGCATAATGAGGAGCTTCATAACTTGTACTCTTCTCCAAGTATAATTAGAATGATCAAGTCAAGGAGGGTGAGGTGGGCAGGTCATGCAGCACGAATGGGGGAGACGAGGAATGCGTATAGGATATTGGTGGGAAAGCCAGAAGGAAAGAGACCACAAGGAAGACCAAGGCGTAGGTGGGTGTGCAATATTAAAATATATCTTAGTGAGACAGGATGGGATGGAATGGATTGAATTGATGTGGCTCAGGATAGGGACCAGTGGAGGGCTCTTGTGAACACCTTAATGAAACTTCGGTTTCCATAAAATACTGGGAACTTCTTGAGTAGCTGCAGAATTTGCGACTCCTCAAGAAGGGCTCAGCTCCATGAGTAAGTAAGTAAGTATTAAATGTCAGTTACTGATGGAGTTGGCTCGTTAAAATCCACCTGGTAATTATTTATTTCGCATATTCATCTTTCACAACCTTTCTTCTTTTTTCTGTCTCGCGCTTCTCTCTTTGTTAAAATTGTGTATTATGTATGTATGTATGTATTATGAGAGGGGATGGGTTTCCCCATTCACTTAGACCAATTATTAGTCCATTGTGCGTCCCCCTTTTAATTTCTACTGTCGCCATACCCTATCGGTAACGGTGCGTGCCATCAGCCCCTGTAGAGCCAACGAGGTCGGCTCCCTGTACCTTGATGCTTCCCCCATCCACCAGAGGCATTGGAGACTACTTGGGCGGGAAAGGGCCTGTAATTTAGCTCAGAGGTCTCTTAGAGACATGAGGTTCTTTTACGTGCCGTAAATCTACGACACGGGACACACGGCTTAAAGTCCCTCCCTGAGGACTTGTTCCCTGAATTTTTCCGCCCTTAAAAATTCCACGACCTCCGCCGGGTTTGAACCCGCGTACCTTGAGTCATGAGGCGGGAACGTTACCCCTAGGCTACGGAGGCCGCAAATTGTGTATTAAGTTAGACCGTTATCTTTCAGATGAAAATGTTTCACATTTAGAAGTCCCATCACTGTAGATGTGCTGAGACTACATACGTCCATAGAATCGGAAGGACGCCCCACGTATCACACACGCACAGTGAATTATGAACCATCTCCATTATACATATAAAAATCCAGAACAGAAGTGGCTTGTCTTCCTGGGTGAGAAATATCATGCACTCATGAAAAGGGGTAATCCAGCATACAGTGTTTTGGAATCCGATGTCCATTAATGAGGGCAAAGAGAATCCACGAGATATGTTTCGTGCCATAGTGGGAGTACGTAATCCAACTTAAACTTTGCGTACAAATATTTTTCTTTCGCGGTTTTGTAAACCCCATCAATATCGAAGTATATAATTTTATTATAAAGCTAACCATAATAGAAATACGGCACTTCACAATCAGAAAATATTTTTCTTATATTTCGTTAAACATCTTACAAATAAAGAAATTACAAGTAAAAGTGGCAAACCCTATTTAACTAAGATCTGAGGTTTCCACAGCGGTGACTATGAAGAATGCCGTCTTCTGNGCGTGTTGTGTTGGATCGATAGAAACGAAAAATAAATGCATCTAATAATTTTTTAATGTAGAGCCATATACAAGACCGTATCGAAATTATAGTAGTAATTTAGGAGATGGACCGGATCTCACAAATAAAGTATTCGTTTTATGCACATCTAGAAAAAAAAAAGAGCATAATAAATAATCGGTTTATTGAAATATTATTACATTTATTCCGAGGAGAAATTATTTTACGAGTATATCATTATAGCCATCTTCACCAAGTTTCACTTTACGTGGCGATGCCTACAGGGAATGGCCCATCAGAGGACCCACAATTCACTCGAGTATTCACATTTACCTGCACATGTCGGACCATCACAGTCAATTATGTTTATGACACCTACAGTTCTCTTTGCAATTGGCAGACACCAAGAGGTGCCGACACACCCAAACTTTGCCGGGAGGGGCCTATCAGTGGCGGTCCGTGTAGTTGTGTCGTAGAGTGTGCGTATATTTGTTAAAATGCTGACACGTGTTGACAGACAATAGAAGGAGTTTGGATTGGTAAATGGATTTGTTGGACTTCTATAGATCATAACTACAAGTGACTATAGCGGTATCGCTACTTCACAATCTACAGTTCACTGCAACATGCACTGAATCTTCTCAATCTCTTATGTTTTCTCAGGTTGTCGCCTGATAACAGCGCCCAATGCCGTAGGTTCATCAGCTTCCCTGTTCCACGGCTTCGGTCCTCGCTAGCTGCAGCCTATCTCACGACCTCCGACGGGTCTCTCTGCCAACAGTCACAATCTAGACTGCTCCGCCATCTCAAGACTTAACTGTCGTGGTTACTCTGCACAGATCAGTGTCTCACACACAGACTAGTGTGCTCAGTCACGGTCTTCGCTCCTCTGCTGAGTAACGTCTTCCAACATTTGACGTTCCTCTGCTCCCAGGCCCACATCCTTGCAGGCTAGCCGCCATCTCACACCAACCTCCTACTTTTCTAACTCCGCCGTCTCAAGTCCCGTTGGTTCTCGTGATATAGCCTGAGGATGGACCCAACAGAACACAACGGATCCAACGTTCTCCTGTTGTAGCGTAACGTCATTACTATCGCAGAAATGTGTTTATTGCGCCATCGCCTAGCAACGGGCGAAGTATTTGGTGACGCAGAGTGATGTGTTCCACTGTTGCGTGTACGCGCAAAAGCGGTCATGTGACGTCCACCGAGAAATTTCATAGCAACGGATGTGTTTACAAAGCTATTCCCACGCAACGACCGTCTCTGCTGGCTTCACAATTCCGGCTCCCAGCAGATAAGTAACAATATATTTAAGAATATTTTGTCTCTCCTCTGATGGTATCATCGGTGTCTTTACGTATGATGTGAACAGGTCTTTAATCGTAGTAAGCCTGATATTCTGGAAGCTTGAAAGCTAGAAACTTGGTCAACATAGACAAGCCAGTTCCCCAGAATGTATTGCCTTTCGTCTTTCTGTTTTTTTTTCTGACGAAACTGAAATATTTTCTAAAATGCGTGTAGTCAGTAGAAGTTATGTCATATCAACGGAATAAAGCTGAAGACATAACAGCTTACTTCTCTTTTGTGTTAGGAAGAAACATTTTACTCCTCTGTGGCTTCCCATTTCTCCTTTCTTGTGCAAGGTTTACAGCAACCTCAATCTGTCCTCTCTATTGTGCAGCGTGTCCTTACTCGGAGGCTTCGAATCGCATCATGTTTTATGTCAGCCCCATCATGCCGCTAACCTTTAGCAACTCGACACAGTTTCGTCGCAGTAATGGGTTCACGTATAGGAAAACTTCTAGTGAAACACTTGCCATATAAGAAATTTGGCAGTAAGTGATCATTATGATTTTGTTCCTAAAGACGTGCAATTTTGAACGTGAAAGGAAAGAAACTGTAAACTATATATGAAGAATAAATATCTGAGTTATAAGAAATTTTCTTGGCACGTGACCTAAATATATTCTCTTATCAGTCACAAGACTCAGAATTTTTTCAAAAATACAAGGGGCCCTTCCAGTTACGCATACCTTGCCTTCCAACAGCATGGACATCAGTAGCTCATGGTACGTGAGGCCTACATTACATTCTTCCATTGATATGTTTCTCTTATGCTACCTTCATTCCACCGCCCCTTCTTCGCTCTCCCTTCTTTCTTTCCTTTTCAGTATTCCATTCACTTATACTTTATTGACGGTGGGGCTCGTTTGTTTCTGAATTGTAAAAAGAATATTTCTTCGCAGAAACATTTCAGGAAGAACAGAAAACAAAGAATGTTCAGAGAGATTATTTACTGCGAAATTGTGGACTTTCCTGTCCGTTTTTATGTTAGAAGTGTTTCTTTTGCTAGTGGTAATTTTTTATCGCGAAGTTAGTGCCAACTTTAGCGGATAGAGAGTGTCGCGTGATTAGTGCAACGAATCCCCACGGCCGTTAATTTCGTTTTTCTAGACCGGAGCCGCTATTTCCTTGAAATAACTCCTCAATTATCCTCACGAAGTTGAGTGAACCCCGTTCAAGACTCACTACTTCTCAAAAAAAAAAATCTGGTAGCACCGGAAATCGAACCCTGACCTCTAGATCTCTAGCCAGGAACTCTGGCCACTAGACAACAGAGGCGGTCTGTAAATTAATACAAGTGAACAAAAAGGCTGGAACAGTGGAATTTTACAGCTATTGCTTACTCTGAAAAATTCTGCTTAAGCCTTATGTTGTCAAGACCGATTATATAGTAAAACACGGCCCATGAAGCACCAACGCCAATCAGACCAATATTTCCTACCTGCATGGTCGTCAGTTTGTAGTGCTGAACGTAACTGCTTCTAGAGGTAGAGGAGTAAGTCTACATGGCGGTTTCGGGATACTAAAACGCTTAATTCTCGAGTACTTATATTCAAGAAAAATATTCGGTTATAAACGTAATAATATGCATGGATTTTTATAAACCTCAACTAAAACTTATGAATAACGGAATTATAAATAATGTGAACAGTCTTGTACTGACCTTGGAGCAGATGTAGTCTTCAACTTGGTGTAAGCCAGTCTAATATTTGAAGATGTTATGATAGGAACTTCATTCGTTCAATCTGTTGAACTGTCAAGCAATCTTCAAGTTTACACTTCAGTAACGCTTGATTCACTCCACTAAACATCACAAACCACCCACTCAGACATTTATTATGTTGTGGCCTTAGCAAATCAGATACTTCAGTCGTAAGTCCTTGCTCTCATAACGTACAAATCAGTAACAGCGAACATCCCGTAGCACTTACGTTTTCCAGTCTACATGAACATTTTTATGCTGTTCATGGATGGAAAGGAAATCTCATGTAGAACTTAGCTCATTGTCTGTGAAGCTTTATGCTGATTTATTGGGAGAAAGCATAATATTATCATAAAATATACAGAAAGTGTATTACTGCTGGTAAAAAGGTTGTTCTGAAAGGTATAACGGAGGAAGGTAAGTATATGTTGCTATCTCGTTACCAAAATACAGGACCAGCTCAAAAAAAAAAAAAAAGATGTCTAGAAAATTCTACGGAATTCTGGTATGTTCCTAGAAGTTAACATTATGTTATAACCCAGAAAGCCACTACCTAAATTTTCGCTGTAATAAAACCTCAAATCAAACTGTGTCCTACAAGTGTTATCATTCTTCATACGAAAATTCCTTGGCCGCATGTAGAGCCTCTTTTTGTTTTGCTTACGAAACATCTTCTCTACTGACGCTACAACCCTGTGTGGACCTTGACCTCAATGGTTTCGTAACAGTAAATTTTTACAGGATGAGGTCTTTAGTCACCTACCCAAGCCCCAACCTGGAGGACAAGGAAGATCACATCTTCTGTCCATTACCCTTTGGCCTGTCTGGCATGAGTGGCTCTACCAGGAGCTTACGTTCCAACCACCATAACTCTCAGGGTCACTGGGGCGTGCAAACCTCCTCTCCACGATAAGGCACTAGTCCTCGAGAAGTATTCTTTTAGTTTTTGGGGGTGAGGCGAGACTGAGTCCACTTGGTACGTCGGCCATTGTACCAGCCCCGGGTGATAGAGGGTGATGATTGTGGAGCAGTCGGTGGAATGAGAACTTGCAGGGGAAACCGAAATACTCGGAGAAAACCTGTTCCAATGCCACTTTGTCTACCACAAATCCCACATGACCTGACCTGGGCTCGAAACCGGCCCGCCGCGGTGGGAAGCCGGCGACTAACCTCCTGAGTTATGGCACAGCCCTCGAAGGGGAGTAAGAAACGTACTGCACAAAAATTGTACTGTAAACTGAGATTAACGGCCGTGGGGATCCGTTGCGCTGATTACGCGACACCCTCTATCAGCAAAACGTGGCACTAACTACGCCGACAAGCGGCGGTTGCTCGGTCGGTATAGTTCACTTGCGGATTACAGGCCACGAAGTTTGTTTTATTTGTTACTGGACTCTCGCTGTCTATGACAACTGGATGTATTCACAGTAAATTGAAATGCTCTGTTACCAATATTTCAGTATTTATTTCGCTTTTTTATGTTTCTATCACATCGGTTCTCTAGTAAGCAGCTGTAATGTCTTACTTTCTCATTTTTCGCATAACACGATACATTTTCACTCATCTACGGTCAGGGTTACGCCCTAGAAAGTAAAATAAACTGGAAAGGAAATTGTACGCAAATTTAATTTTTTCATGATTTTACTCAGATTTGTACTGTTGCAGCACATAAGGGTAGGTGTCTGATTTCCTTCCTCCGCTACACCAGCACTACCACTTATACACACTACACTTCACGCACTGACATAATAACTTATTATGCACTAACTACATGGAACTATGTTCTCGCAAAACCGCCAGTCGTTCAGCTACTCAAGACTGTCCCAAAATTTTATGAAACACGAAAGTTCGTTGCCACTTTCACAGGAACCCTCCACTGGCCCAGCATATTATGCATTAATATCGGATAAATGAGACATCACATACTGCTATAACACAAGTTATTACACTCATATGTCTATAGAAAACACTCCATCAAAAACACGACAGATACTCGTAATATAGATGGCATAATATAAAGAAACGAAAATGGAAATCTGCCATCACAACCTGAATTAAGGACTAAGTTACCTCATAACAATATATAATTTGTTGACTACGTAAATTCACTCTTTCTAACATTTTCACCCATACGTTTTCTAACATTTAGAGTAAGTATATGTTTCGAAAAACTGCATTATGAGCCTAATAATAACCAGTATAGGGGTCATACTTCCACCTAAATAATGTTATTAGCAATTTAAAACCGCGAATAGTTGTATACAGTAATATTGTCATCGTTTTGTCTAACTTAAATCTGTGTATTTCATTATAAATTTCAGTATGAACTTAATGTAAAATGGGGTAGATTATTTTGAATAATGCTGAGAGATTTTAACGTAATTAGTTTCAGAGATAAAGTATGCAGATTTTCTACTCTGTGTAACTTGTACTGTTGGAAAAGCGGGATGTAACAAAAACAAAAGAGCACAGAAACAGCTCCTAGAATCAAAACAATTTTTAGATCGCTTTCTCCTTCGTTGAATCCGGTTTTCTCAAAGATGAAGTTCAGTTCTTGTTACAATTTTCAACAAGAAAGTTCCATTAGTATAATTTACTTAGAGCCATTGTAACTGAACACATATATACAAGAAACATTCTGAAGAATGGTGTCTTCTGGGATATTATACCGTGTAGTCCGTTTAAAGTCACCCCGCGTTTCGGAGGAACATATCGTTTTATCTTCAAGATTGAATCATAAGACCGAGCAAGACACCATCGTGAAAGCAAATGGCAAGAAAAGATTTGCGGACCACTCTCTTTGCCACCTGCTTTCCCGCTGGCTTCCTTCTCGGATTATTCTTCTACACTGAAGATGGAGGCGATATGTTCTTCCGAGACGTCGGTTAACTTTCAACAGACTACACAGGGTTATATCCCAGAAGATAGTACTCTTCATAACCACCGCAGTGAGAAGCTCAAATCATGCAAGAAATATTCTCTCATGGAACTGCTGAGTGGTTAAAATTTTTGCTTCGAATTTAGGATATTCAGGTTCAATTCTCGATTTTTAGACTGGTTATTTTAGAGGAGGTTATTTCATAGTTTCCCACGTCCCTTCAGTATGATAAAGAACTGATACCTTAAAATAATATGCAATAAAATTCTTTCACATCCTTCCCAACGTATCACTCGCAGTCAACTTACAATTCAACACTAAATGATGCATACAGTTGAAAAGCGCCTAAAATAACATACGTAACATAAGAAAAAAGGATTCAATAATATAAACGTCCTTTTAAGTGACGGAAACTTCACTAGTATAAAATTAAACATCTGCATAACTGAGAAAAATACAACTCTTTATTACTTTCTCCCTAGAAAAATAGACTATAAATTTGGCTTCATTAATTTAGGAAACAGAACAAATGAGCTGGAACGTATCCTTTCTCCATTAAGTTTAGTAACTTTGTGAAAAAACTTCCATTATTCATAATTATGAAATAGCTACAGACACTTAGAAACACTTCACTGTGACGTTTCGGCAGTTCTTAATAGCTGAGTCCAAAGTCTTGATATCTTCTCAGAGACGAATGGAGCCATATCTGTCACACTGCGATGCTGAATAATATATTCATTCGTTTGAATAAGGAACCAGGCAGGAAGGGCAGACGGTCACTCACCAACTCCCGGTGATTCGGTCCAGCGCCGGAAGCTACATCATCGGCGACTGTGAGCGTAAAGGAGCGTCGCGACGACTCACTCACTCTGTGCAACAACCAGCGCCACTCGCGGCCCTGCCTCGTGACTTCCATTCATGAATACAACACGAAGACCTCAGCTGCTGAACCTAAGGCTTTTAACAGAAGTATCTCACAAAGAAAACTTTCCGTATGCTACACGTAAGAAATTGTAAACAGACAATCCACAAGTCTGGAGCTATTAGCTCCATGGCACATTCTACTCCTTGACTAGACGAAAGTTACTTATTATATTTAAGCGTCCTGTTGCACTCTACACGATAAATGATACAAACTCCGTCCCAAGTGCAAACAATATATTACATGTCCTTGATCTTGCTCTCCTCTACACTACACGTTTCGGCCTCAAACGGCCATCATCAGGTGTATACTCTTACGTTGCTGTCACACTGCACTTCGTTTAAAATTTAACATTTAAAAACACATTGTTCTTTTCGTTGTTATTATCAACATCTACTTCATTGATGTCTGTCTGGGTTATAGATTAGTTTTGTTACACACGTTAGCAGTTATAAAATCTTTAGTTCTAATTTTAAAATCCTTTAAAATGTGTTTTTAAATGTTAAATTTTAAACGAAGTGCAGTGTAACAGCAACGTAGCTATATACACCTGATGATGGCCGTTTGAGGCCGAAACATGTAGTGTAAGGAGAGTAACATCAAGGACATGTAATATATTGTTTGCACTTGGGACGGAGTTTGTATCATTTATCGTGTAGAGTGCAACAGGACGCTNTTACTTAACTGTTAAAGATATTTCGGATTTTATAAAACTCAAATATTTATTATTTTACTCACAAAACTTTGGGTGCTGAGCCATTTGGAATCACTTTACGTCCTCACTCTCTATTCCTTTAAGATAGAGTTGTCCCTCTGCTTCATTAATTAAGCACTACGTCATTAAGACGTATGGGGGGAGTGGATGTACAGGTCCACATTTTCTTCACCTCGGCACTAGATGGAGGTGAGTGGTTAGCTTCACGTCCCTGCCGCTTAACCCCCGGGGGAAGGGTCCCTGGTACACATTGGATAGGAGACTGGGTGGGCCCCAGAGCCGGTCTGGGTGATTTAGAGAAGAGAAAATTCTGACCCTACCGACCCATAGACAGTCGCTATACCGACTGCGCTATCTCGGCTCACCTCTTTTCCTGCACGAACAATTTTAATATTAACCTCCCATCCACTTCCATCATTTCAAAATTATGGTTTTCCCTTCAGGTTTTTAAATTAAAATATTTAATATATTTCTCATCTCTTCCCGTGTGTGCTATATGTACGGCCCATCTTATCCTTTTAATAGATCATTTGGGGTGAAGTTAAAAGCCGATTGGTGAGTGTCAAGTGGTGTGGGTGCATGCAAGCTGAAGACAAGTGCCATGTTACAAGTTTCCTCGCAGTCATCATCTCCGTCCGGCGACTAAGTCTGTCAAGGGCCGCGCCATAGCTCAAGCGGTTAGTCGCTGGCTTCCCACCGCGGCGGCACGGGTTCGATCCCGGTTCTGGTCAAGTGGAATTTGTGGCGGACAAAGTGGCGCTGGGGTAGGTTTTTGTCCGAGTACTTCGGTTTCTCCTGTCAATCTTCATTCCTCCAATTGCTCCACAATCACCCTCACGTATCATCTGGGGCTGGTACAATAGGCCAGAAGTGGTCGGAGTACAAGGGACTTAGTCCCACCCCACTAGCAATAAAAAAATAAAAAGTTGTTTTCTTGTTTCTTTGGCTGTGTTCATTCCTTCAATATTGTTTCCATAGTTCCACAAATCGTTTGATATGTTTCTCTCTATATGTTAACCCACTCACAGAGACCTAATGCTGTATATAGTTCATATGTCCCATATGGTGCAGTAGGATTGTGATCACCCAGTACTACAGTACAGTGTAATTTTGGTCTGACTGGATTCTTTCCCTTGAGTCTTCTTTACCGAGTTATTTTGAAATTTCGTGTCTGTGCTATTAAATTTAAATTACTTGTATTTAGGACTATTGTTACGAGCCGGGATAGCGTAGTCGGTATAGCGACTTGCTACGGCTGGACGACCAAGCGGTCACATTTCGAGTCCCGTTAGGGTCAAAAATTTTCTTTTCTCTACATTATTCAGGCCAGATCTTGGATCCACCCACCCTCCTATCGAATAGGTACCCGGGGCTCTTTCCCCAGGAGAAAAGCGGTCGGGGCATGAAGCTGACCACTAACTTCCAACTAGTGCCGAGGTCAAGAAAACGTGGGTCTATACATCCACTCCCCCCTACGTCTTTATGGCGTAGTGCTTAATTAGTTAAGCACAGGGACAATTTTATCTTAAAGGAGTATTACTATTTGTGTTAATCTTCTGAAGATTCTAGCGCCATCTGGCTGTCTGTATGCAACATTAGTTTCATATACTTTCCATATCCTATATATTTACTCCATAAGATCTTCCACTGCATTCTTGTAGAATTCCATCTGCGTTAACATTAATAAGGGTGAGTGAGAGACTAAATCCATTCCAAACATCAAGGTTGATATTTTTCACTTAATTTATTTTATAGACCAAATATCATTTTAATATACTCTTAATATTTGAAGTGAATGTTGTGGAATTCTGTTTACTGTAATGTTTACCAAAGGGTTTATCGATGTTCTTTATCAGATGCCTTAGTATTTTATACAAAGGATATGCCTCCCTGTTAATCTCTGTTCTTTTATCGACTGAGTCCCTTAACGTCAACCCATCATCTTTAAATAAAGGTCCTCGTCTGTACTCATTCTGCCCTTCACATAACGTAGCTTCTGCCATCGGATTCAATCTGACACTCGAATAAATCTTGTGTCCAGGAAATAAAATACCAAGTCCTGTGTAAGTGCAAGATTCTCTGCCTTCTTATTCCTTTATAGGTGATCTTACGGCGCTGCCAGTATCTAGACTAGATATCATCTAATAGTGCGATAATTGATGAATGATGATGAAATGGAAAGCATCTGGAACAGAGTAGTCGTGTCCTTGCACCGGTCTGCAGGGAATGAAATATACTACAGAAACTGTACTCAGTGCAGTAAGTGTGTCAACCGGTATTCGAACCAAACACCTTGCACATAAAAATCTAGATCATTGCTATTAGTCCAATCCCCTCGGCGCCTTCTGTTTTAAAAATTTAGTTTAGTAATGAAACTGATCAGTTATAAGGAATAGCTCTTTATTTCAGCATCCTGCTGCAATTGTTTAACTTAACGTCCATGTATTTATCGTCCGTCAATATTGCAACATATGTTCATTCACTATTTAATTTTAATTTTAGTTTAACATTTTATACTTTACCACTACATATTTCGGCCCAAAACGGCCATCTTCAAGTGTCGTGATATGTTACAAATATTTTATTAAATTATGTGATTGTGTGATTTTAACACGGACTAACACAGTGTAGCAGTTTTAACATAATTTAATGAAATATTTGTAACATATCAAGACACCTGAAGATAGCTGTTTGGGGCCGAAACATGTAGTGTCAAAGTGTAAAATGTTAAACTAAAATTAAAATTAAATAGTGAATGAACATGTGTTGCAATATTGACGGACGATAAATACATGGACGTTAAGATAAGGAATAATTGTTTCCAAGAAAAGATTTACTAAATGTAAAAACCGTATTGTATGTTATTTATAGCAGATGTCTTCATATTTTTGATAAGTTTAATTATTTCTCCGGTTCCTGTATTTTTACCCTAGCCAAATTTTCAATTCTTCTTCTTCTTCTTCTCTTCTTGTTACCCCCACTTGGAGCAGAGGGCATTCGCGAAACCCTCCGTTTCACTGCAGTTTCATAATGTAATGCAGTCTGTAGGACTCTTGGACGGGGGATCAGCCAGTCGCAAAGCTGCTACCTAACACAAACACAGAATAAACACAAACACACATCCATGCCTTGAGTGGGATTCGAAACTACGATCCCAGTGTTAAAGCGAGCAGAGACATTTCATGCCTTAGACCGCGCGACAGCTGTGATCTGCTTATGATTTCTACGTCATTATATTCTACTTCAGCTACAATAACCGTACAACAGTAAAGTTCTTCTGTTTCTCGCATTTTTTCAGTTACACTAATGTGCAACATACACTGTTTCTCCGCCCATATCCTCGTATGTCATGTTCTAAAGTCCGAGTACACCCAGTTTCAATTATATAGATTTCCCAGCTCAAACGATATATCTTCTTGAAGAAAGCAGTCTTCTTGGATGTGACACCGTGTAGATGTGGTGTTAATCGACGTTTCGGAGGAACGTATCGCCTCCATCTTCAAGGTAGAAAGAAAAATAAGAAATCCAGACTGGTGTCTGCTTGTACCGGTTCTCACGGTCTCTTCGCTTGCGGATTTCTTATTTGTCCTTCTACCCTGAAGATGGAGGCGATACGTTCCTCCGAAACGTCGGTTAACACCACATCTACACGGTGTCACATCCAAGAAGACTGCTTTCTTCAAGAAGATATATCGTTTGAGCTGGGAAATCTATATAATTGAAANGATATATCTTCTTGTTTTTGCGTTTTGCTTATGCATATCTTGATCTGCAGTTATACATTTTCCAATAAATATGTGTAGCATGCTCTCTTCTTTTGATTTACTACTTCCTTTGTCATTTCTCTCCATATCGTTATGTTTTTTTAACTTTCTTTTAAACTTTGTTTCTAAAGATTCAACTGCCGTTTTTTTTCTATGCATATTTATATATCCTCTCTGTATTCATTTTTTCATTCCTATTTGAATTTGGCATTAAATATTTTGATGATGTGTTCTCTAACAAATTTTTGTATTCTATTATCTTGACTTTTTATTTTCCTTTTTCTCGTTTACTTCCTTCTTGCTAGAATATTCATCTGTGCTGTTACTGGTAAGGAGAAGATATAAGACTTGGATTGGGAATTTCAACGAAAAAAAATGTGTCTGTATTTTCCTTCTACTCCCCATTCTTCCATTTTCACTGAAACC